TAGTCACATGGGTGTAAAGATACATAAAATTTCATCACTATATACATAAAGTTTATGTACATTATTGGATCAAAATACCTTGGCAAAAACTAGTCATGCAAAAAAAAGAATCAGCAAGACATTCTTCAGGAAGAAGAATAAAGCGAGGAGAAAATTGCCCTACAAGATACCAGGACTTATTACAAAGCCTTACTAATTAAGACTGTGTGGTATTAGTACAGAGATAGACAATTTGGTTAGAATGAAACAGAATATGGAGAACAGAAATAAATCCCCATATATATGGAAATTTAATTGCTGATCTTTGGAGAAGAATGAATTCTTCAGTAAATGGTGCTAGAACAATTGGTATTTATATAAAACAAAAGCAATTTCTATCTTCGCATGTTATACAAAAATATAAATCCCTTACTGACACAAGAGAGAAAAACTTTGAAATTTTTAAGAATAAAGTATAAGGAAATAATTATTGATCGGGAACAGTGGAAGATTTATTAAAGAGGGTAGAAGAAGCTCTAATTATATATAAAGATAGAAAACATGACTACACTGAAAAATTAAAACTTCTGTTCATTGAAAGTCACCGTAGAGAAAAAGAAAAGCTACAAATTGGAAGAGGATATTTGCAAACATATACTCAACAAAAAATACTATCTAGAATATATTAAGAATTCTTTAAGAGAAAAAAGTAAAAGTGAACTAACCCAGCAGGAAACTGGACAAAAATGGATAGGCGTTTTATAGATGAGAGAACACGAAGGGAAAAGAAAACATGCTAAATGGTAAGGAGAAAACAGGGAAACAGAAGTCAAGATCTCAATGAGACACAATTTACAAGTACCAGGAGGGGAACATTTTACAGTCTGAGAATACCAGGTCAAGTGTTAGCAAAGATGTGGACAACTACTGTAAGGAGTATGAAGTGTCCAACCACTTTGGAAAACAATCTGGTGATACTGTGCACACGTGAACAATTTTACTCTATAGCTCAGCAATTTTATTCCTAGGTATACATGCTGTATAAAAATTCTTACACACATGCACTAAAAGAACTTTCCAGGAATGTTCATAAAAACATTGTACATGTTAGCAACAAGCTGAAACCCAAATGTTCACCAAAAAGAATGGATAAAAATAAGTTCTGGAATATTCACACATTGGCATTATGCAATCCTGAAAAGAAACTAGAGTTACATGCAAAGAATATGGATACATCTTAGGAAGAAAAGGCAAGTTTTGTTAAGACTAGATACAATGTTAAGAGTCTTCTAATGTTTATTTATAGGTAAAACTAAATAACTTTATTTATTGGTATATCTGTATATAAGAAAACTATTTAGAAAGTAAGAGAATGGTAAATTGAAAATCCAAGAAAATTGAAGGAACACTGAGGCAAGTTCAAGGATAGTGGTGATATTCTCCTGATATTTGCTTCATAATGAGTATCTATCACGTATTTAACCTGTATCAAATATTACATGCACTGTGAATATGGTATAATAGATCATTTCAATATTCTAATAGATGCTGCTATGGATAGGGTTAAATTTCTGCAGGAAGTGCATGGTGACTGAAGGCAGAGACTCCAGAGGCAGACCCTGTGGCTTCCAACCTGACTTTCCCACTGATTAGCTGCATGACCTTGGGAAAGTTACTCATGTGCCCTGTGCCTCAATTTTCATATCTGTTAAAAGGGAATGATAAAAAGAACCCATTTATTAGGGTTATTGTGAGGATTAGTTGCAGTTTTACATGTAAAGCGCTTAGGGGATGCCTGGGACACGGCAAGCCACGTGTTGACTGTCATCTTCATTGTCTTGGGGGCCAGACCCACAACTTCTCTTACTCTCAGTTTATTTATCTGCACAATGGGATAATAAGACCTTGTGAAATAATAAATATAAGGCATATGGCATCGTGCAGGCCATCCAGTAGATATTCAGTGGCTAAAATATAACTTTAACATTTCGATTCAATCTCATGGATCTCCTATGTTTGGTTTTTAAATTAAAGAAATGGTCTCATGGTAAAGAATAAAGATGCTACTCTTGAGATGACTCATGTACATAGCAAAGACGCTTTTTTATGTGTAGTTAGACACAGCATTTACTAGATTTTCCCCAACCTCCCAGTTGGGATTGTTTGAAATCCTGTTACAAAATGTCTTTCCTAATACTTTGTGAAATACCATTTTGTGATTACAATAAACATTCTGAAAATGTAGGAAGCTCTAAATTCTGTTCGTTCAAAAAAAAAAAACGATTCTCTTCAGTTCAATGTAGTGTCTTCTGTTTTTCTATGCTTTTAAAAATGAAACTGAGATCACACAATTAAATAAATATGTGGAAGGGCAGACAATGAAAGAAAAGGATTCCATTATGTTGACACATTCAGGCAGGTAATGATCGTGGTTCCCTGCAGAGGCAGCCTTTGGCAGCCAACTCACCTTTACTGACTTGATTCCATCTTGTCCTCTTTTGTAACCAGGAGGTAACTGGACACCAGATGCTGGTCAGGTGGGGACTCAAGATGGTGACTGGGCTGCTCCCCCTGGGAAACCTTCTCCCAAGAGTTCTCCTTTCCCCTCACGTTCTGGTAGGGATAAAAACATTCGGGGTCTGCTTCATGGAAGCAAAAGGGTTTTTGGAGTGTTTTGTTCACTTCATTTTGATTTTAAGATAAATGTATACTTAATTGTTTTGGACTCTCCAAATCACCAGTTGGATTCCCAGCAGCTTTAGGAAGCTGTCAGGTTTAACGCAGGCTATAACTCATCTCATTTTAGCCTTCTTTTTGTAGTTGAACCAGAGAAGTCAGAGCCCAGGCTGCCTCTCCGCCTTTCCATGTATGGTATAGCATTTGTCAATATTAAATTTAATTTGTGCTAAGAGCAGCTCGCTAACAGTGAGAACACAAAGCTTGCTGAACTTCACTGTGTCTGTGCGTTCAGTACAGCCAACATTAACAAACCTAATGAATTCAGCTACATCATCCTCCCCAAATCTAGGTCATTTCTGTTGATTAAAAATGTTATAGGTTTGACGCTACAAAAATTCACTTAAAATTTAACTACTTCATCACCTTTTCTGTCTCCTGTACTTCTCAAATAGAAGAATATATACTGATTACCAATCCAACGGGCCACCATTAAGAGGTTGTCATCAACAACAGACATTTATTGAGTGCCTATTGTGTGCAAGGCACTGTACTAGGCAGGAGGCTACAAAGACAAAAGAGAAACAGTCCCTGCTCTCAAAGAGCTTACAATCTAACGAGACTAACAGGACACATACGTAAAGAGACAAGGACAATTCAAGGTAGCATATAATATTAGGGCACGAAGTAAAAACAAACACAATCACAGCCTTTTTTTGCTTTTCTCTGGTGTCTCAATACCCTGAGTAGGTAGGGATGAGTGAGCTAGAACAGAGGGCTTCCTCCTGCTTGTTTTTTAAGCCTATAGACCCTCTCTCACCTCTTTCCACTCCGAAGCATCTTCTGGATGTGCTAAAATCTAGGTAGTGGATTTATCTCCCCCCTGCCCCAAGGCCTAAGTATTACAGTAGTCTTTGAGGTGGACTTCTGATAGGGTGACCCACTGTCCCAGTTTGCCTGGGATTTGTCCTAGTTTTTGCGCAAAAATGTGTCTGGAAACTCCCCCCTCCCTACTTCCTGGGGAAAGCCAGGACAGTAGATCTGAAGCACCAAGTCCCGTAGCCGATACAGTCGTCCCACCTACTATGGTCATTGCCTGGCAGGGCCCACCCCAAATCTGTTCCCCAAACAGGTCTCTAGTCTAAACACCTACAAGGAAGACCTCAACAGCTTCCAAAGACTGCTGGTTTAAGAGCCCAGTGTAGAAAAAAGAAGACAATCGGGAGAGAATGACAGCAAAAAGATGGAATTGCGGTTCAAGAGGGAGGCAGGGAGGATGGAAGGAACCACTTGATCGGGTATGGCGTTTGTGAGGGTGTTCACCTCACCTCTTAACACTGCAGAGGACATAGGGATCTCAGAGTAAGTCTAGTTAATACTCTGAATCATCACTCCAATGGAATTCAGGGTATATTTCTGAAACGAGGTCAGTCCTCCATAAGGGCGAATATTTGGGTGGGTGTTAAATAGATATGTATGTGTTCAAATCACACTGTATTAATCCTGACAGAATTCCAATGTGTTCCCTTCACTTTTACCTACCATTCAGGTAGCTTCCGAATCAATAATTTTAACTCAAAATAATTTGAGGTGAGTTCTTATTTCAGAATAAGGTTAGATCCTTCAGTTTTAATGTAGTTAAAATAGACGAGGAATGGAGAACATTTCAGGAAACAAAGGTAATCTGTCCTGAGAGGTGTTTGGAATCTGATACACACACGCATACCGGGCAGTAATTTAAGGATTCCAAGAGACCGCACATAAATTTCTCCTTCAGGTGCAGCCTTTTGTGTTTTGCTTTCATTTATTTTTTGAAGAAAAGCTCTCACGCTGAAGTCTCGGGACCTTGGAAGTTCCCGAATCGCTCTGGTTTTATGTCTAGCCCTTAGGTTAGCACATACCAGGGTTAGTGAAGCACAGGGACTTAGTTACCAAACACCCATTAACCATAATGGAAATCACACAGCAAAGTCCCCATGCAGCACACTGAATATTTACCTCCTAATGTTCTTTTAATGTACGCTTTCTTGGGTGAATATTTACTGTAGAATATTAAATGTAAGATTCCTTTTTTTATGGGCCATTTGAAGTGATTGATTTTGTTTGTGAATTCCTGTATCTTTGCCCATAATGGCTGTCTATTGTAATGGCCTCTGCCAAATGTTCTTGCGCTGAAATAACAGACGCCATGGGTCGGCCAGCTGTGGCTTTGTATTACCGTGGTCTTAAAAGCTAGGAGGTAGCTGATGACACAGTTGGGAAAGAAGGAAAAGGTGTGTAACATAACGAGTCTGGCTAAGGCTTCCAACACAAATGGATATTGAAATCACTGAGGTCTGTAAACATGGTTCTGCAGGCATCTTTTATATCAGAGCTGATGTTTAATGTTATTGAATGGTGTTGAGACCGATAGTCACAAAACGACAGTGGCAAGATAAGAATTCAATTGCCCACGGCCAGGACCATCAGCACAATCTATCAGAATTCTAGGCATTTTCTTTAAATGCTATAATAAAAACCACTGCCCAAGTGATAATTCTTGCACTTTTTTATACCATATTTTTAAAAATATAAATTCACATACGTATCTTACCTACATTTAGATTTAAGCTATTTCCCAGTGAAGCCAGGAATTTCAGAATTTGGTTGCTTTTCACTCTTTTGAGTATTTGGGAGGAAGAAGTTACAAAAAAGATGGGAGTTATCATATGGTCTTTAAAAAAAAAAAAAAGAAAACAAATCCCAAAACCTAAAGATAACACAGGCATTTGAGATATTATTAGAGTAGGTAATACAGCTACATCTTCGCATGTTCCAACTCTGCCTTTCCAAGTTTCCATAAAGATAAAACTTGTTAAAGGAGCCTACTTACATCTGGACAACATAATGTCTTCGAGTGATGGTAAAGATGGCCTATAAATCCAGTCATGAAATTCATGCTCTTTTCCATACATTCACAAAGTATTGTGTGTTCAGAGTCCATGCTGCAGAAGAGATTGTGCTGAAATACAATTCTACGGTCTCTTTAAAAACAATGAGAAAATTTAAAGAACACATACATTTCGATTATATTGGCTTTTAACAATTCAAGCTAGACCACAATAATACTTTGTTTCTGACGTATAAATATCTGGACTGTGTCTGCATCTCAAGCACAACACTCCATATAATTAACAGTACTAGTTAGTGCAAGGGAATGGAATCTTTAGCAGTAATTAAGGAAAGGGAAAGGAAGTGGCAACGTGAGAAACCTTCTTTAATCACAGGTCAGGTCATGTTCTATAAAACACTGTCAGTCTCCACACATAATACTTGCTGGTGCCTTCAAATCTGGCATCGGAAAAACTAATGCCTTCTAAGTCATGTGTAAAGAAAACACTGGTAGAGTTTTAAAAGGACCATTTTTGAAGAATATCACCAGCTTAAATGAAGGTCTTTCATACTAACTGATATCTTGGCCCTGAATAAAATAAGTCCTTCATACCCCTCCAGACCAGGGAACGGCTGTGAATATAATGTAAGTAAGACTTGCAATATGGGAATCTGGAGTTCACAGGATAAATGAGTCTTATGCTAGGGAATCTCCTTGTATTATCTTCTCATAGATTCAGAGAAAGGCAGTTCCTTGCTCCTGAAGCCAGGGAACACCACAGTTCTGTCTTTCTTAGTTTTCTTTTGTGTTTTTTCTTTTCCTTCCTCCCTCCCTCCCTCCCTCCCTTCCTTCCTTCCTGTGTGTAGTGCAAGAAACACCAGAAAAGCAGGGGGTAGATTGTAGCCAATGGGGACCAGGCAGGAAGTTATGTTTTTAACCACAGAGGGAGATAGATAGCAGGGGAATGAAAAGACTCCCTAAAATCAGGCTTTTGCTACTGCAGAAGCCCCAGTCATTCCAAGTGCACAGTCCTTAAATGTGTGAACGAGAGGCTCACCGCATTTTACATTTGGAAGGAAAACGTATGCGGTCGTCTAGTACAGGGACATCATTCTCAGACGAGGAAACGAGGGTTTACGTCAGGTAACCTACAGCAACTATTACTAAAGACAACCATCCTTAAGTTTCTTTTGTTAGTATTGTTTTGTTGTAATAACACAGTTTTTGGCTTTCAATTTTGTCATTTGGAGCATTTCCTTACGTTAGAAAACGTCATAGCTATTCTTGAAGCCTAAGGGTTCAAAAAATGCAACGCAACATTTCCAAGTCAATGGCATGCCAACAATGAGCATCGTGAACACAGTCACTTACCAACCGTATTCTAGGTATTTTCCAACCATCGTTCAGGATTAAAGAGTTAAGAAGGATAAATTACCACATAATCATAATCCATAAAAATACTGGCCTAGATAGAGTACACTAAAAAACTCTCAGTAAATAAATATTGGGCATTTGTTTGATGAAAGTCAGTGGAGATGTGCTCTTCAGAAATCATGTCCATACTTTCAGGCTACTTTTTACAAATCACACATACAAAGCCCAACAGATGACAAAGATTAGAGATCAGGTGAGGATACAACTTGATAGAAAAAGGTCTTTCGATGTGGTGTTTCTATAAAGGAACACAACTAACGTTGAGTTGCTTGTGTTTCAGTTTTGAAGGCAATACTTAAAGAGATCCAGAATGATTTTTAATCATGGCAGCATCACTGAAATGAGTGGTTAGCTCCTAAGGTAGCCCCTTTTGAAGTAGACGACACTCATTAGGACATATTAATTCTGTAATTTCTCCTTACAAACCAACTGCACTGCTTCACAGTCATGCCTCAGAGGCATCTGTACATGTTGCTTCTGGAGGGGTTTCTTGCTCCCAGTTTTCTCCCTTTTTTGTGTCTGGTGGCTCAGGAAGTCCAGTGCCCTGGTGTCTGATACAGTAGGGACTTGGGATTTCAGTCTGGCACACTCATTCCTCAGAACACAGGTTTATTCTCAGGATGATTTATAGCAAGTGATTCTGGTTTCCAGTCTGGTTGAAAGAAGTGAATATTGAATGTCCGTGCCCAGTTCTTAAAGACGCGTTTCTCTGTGATAAAGCGGTGATGACTACCCTTCCGTCCTCGCTCGTGGGAGAGGTACATTGTACATTCATCAGGTCCAAAAGGTTCATAATAGTGATAAGGTACCGAAGGGTGGTTGGGATCCCTGCAAGAGGAAAATGAGATAGCTGAACAGAGGGGAAAACATTCCTTTGACTGACTAAGCTGATAAGCACAACTCATATTTCCAAGTTAAATACATTTCAACAGATAGTTTTTCTCAGGTGTACACAATAAGCAAGTGGAAAGGTTTTGAGATTGTGAAACAAATGCACTGACCATCATTATCAAACAGAGAGAGTAAAAGTATATACATACCATAGGACCTTCAGGTATGGGTTATTAAAAATTATTTTAATGTTTGTTTATTTTTGTGAAAGGGAAAACACAAGCAGAGGAGGAGCAGAGAGAGGAGGAGACACAGAATCTGAAGCAGGCTCCAGGCTCTGAGCTGTCAGGACAGAGCCTGACACAGGGCTCAAACCCATGAACCGTGAAATCATGACCTGAGCTGAAGTTGGAGGCTTAACCGAATGAGCCACCCAGGTGCCCCCAGGTTTTAGGGATTTAAAAATTACTTATTACTAAAGTTCCCACTTCTACTCTTGCCCTGTAAAATCTATTTAGCATAAGCAGCTATTTACAAAACAAAAACACATCACATCACCTTCCCCATGCCACCCCCGCTAAATCCTCCAGAGGCTTCTAATTATACTGAAAGCATGGCTTATAACGTTTTGTGTGAGTTGGTTCTTCTTCAGAGTCTTCTCCTAACCCAGCCTTGCCCACTGCTCCAGCCATACTGGTCTTTCTGGGCACCAACTCTGCCAACTCCACCTTGAGGCCTTGGCACTTGAGGGTAGTCAGCTGGTGGTCGCATGCTCCTACCAGTTCACTCCTTCTCACCAGTGGGGATCGACTTAACTGTAGCCTCTTAGGAAGGGCTTTACCTGACACCTGCCCCTTTGCTACGTCTCAGTCAGATTGACTGTAAGCATTGATCACTCTCCGGAATTGCTGTTGTGTAGACTTACTTACTGTCTGTTCATGAGGGCAGGCCTTTGTCTTGTTCCTAGTAGGTGCTCAATAAATAATTTTTGAATTTCTGGTCCTGAAAGACATTTATGGGGAGTTAGTGGCTAACCAGCAAACCTCTAAAGACAACTTCTCCTCCAGCATGGAAAGTTGATGATCCTAGTTTGAAAAATGGCAAGCACGATGCCACCACTTTCCTTGTTTCTCTAGGTAGATGATGGACTCAAATCCAGAGTCTCTAAATTCAGAAATTCCAAATCCTCAGTCCTTGCATTGTAGCCTGACAACCCCAACATTTTTTCCATGTCTCTATCCCTATTTTGCCTCAAATGAGAAACACTGGCTCATTTCCTCATGGCAACAGGCAAAGGATGAACATGTGGGGGTGGCTGGGTGCCCTGTTGTAGGTTACTACACATCGAACCCCCAAAGAGCCCTGACCTCAGGCTAGTCTAGTCCATTTCCATTCTAGTCTAGTCCACTCCACCTGTTCAGTCTTGATGGCTAGATGATAGATTTAGTTAAGACATCCCAGCAGGGTAAATCTTTCTATCTTGAGTTACACTCACCAACTGGCTTTGTGGCAGAGCTTAGTGCTTCTCTTGAAAGGCCCAGGCAAACCACAGTTCCATGCCTGGAGCCTTTGGGTCCCCATTCCAGTAATTTGGGCTCTACTCTAAGTACAGTAACTTTGTTTCCCAGAGATGTTCATCCTGCTAGACACCTATTTGTTTTCTTCAGAAGAGATCAATACACAAATAGCTTCTAGAGTAGCAACTTTACTGAGGTCAGGGATCGAAGTCTTTTATCAAGAGGGGTGTCAAGATTGTGGCTCTGACAACAATAAACCTTTTGAGCTGCCTCTCCTCTGAGGTTAAAGTTCTTCCAGGAAGAGAGATTTATTTTTGTCATGCAGCATTTAAACGTTCCTGGTCCTGGGTTGGATGCTATGCTGAATTAATACTCCGCATCTCTATCATGCTTGTCTCGAAGTATCTCTGCGGTCTACAGTGACACATTAAGTTCAATCCTGTTTAGTTAATATAGATTTCACGTATAAACTTTCTACAGAAACCCCTTAAAATTTAGTAGGAAAGTGTTTTCAGTCCAGAAAACACATTCTAGGAAGAATTAAAGTTGGAACTGACTACCATGAAGAAAAGAGTAAACAACAAAAAACAGAAAAATTTCAGACAAATGTCCTCAGATTCATATGGCATAATATGCGGAACCATGCCAAATTCACTCTGCCATGGTATACTCTGGGTTAAGCTTTTATTCTGATATAAATCAGGTTTTAAATCTCATTTATCTACACTTTGAACATATTACTGGCATCAATCTGATTAAAGAAACAATTAGGTTTCCAAAAATATCATGAAATTGAGTTGGCATCTAAGAATACAGAGAAATTGGATCCAGCTAAAGGATGCTATGTGGGGATCAATTTCCTTATTCGGGAAGACCATCGCTTTGAATGAAAACTTATCTGGCTCCATATTGATCACCGAGAGAGGGAATTAAGTTTACAGATTTAGTTATTGTGATTTCAAAAGTGTCTACATAATTGGGGGTTGTTTCCACACTTTAAAACTCTGTGTAGGGGCGCCCGGGTGGCTTAGTCGGTTAAGCATCCGACTTTCGCTTGGGTCATGATCTCACGGTTCGTGGGTTCGAGCCCCGCGTCGGGCTCTGTGCTGACTGCCAGCTCAGAGCCTGGAGCCTGTTTCAGAGTCTGTGACTCCCTCTCTCTGACCCTCCCCTGCTCACGCTGTCTCTCTCTCTCTCTCTCCTAGAAATAAATAAAACATTAAAAAAAAATTAAAAAAAAACAACAACAAAACAACAACTCTGTGCAAATGGCAGGAGAGTGCTTTGTGGGCCTTGAGAAGGCAGAGCCAAAGCGACTGTACTAGGAACAGCCCTCCGGGTTGAAAGGCTGCCATCAGTGGCAATCCGCTGTTCCCTTCAGGAAGCCCTTTGCAGTGGAAGGTCTTAGGTCTTTTCTCAAACCTGACTTTCTAAAGGCTGTCGTAGCTTTTTCTTCCTCCACCTGACCCAAATGAAAACATCAATAATATCAGCAGAATTTCCACACCAGGAGGCTCTCATTGTAAAAGGGAGGATTCTGGCACCCAACTTCCTGTTCCAGGGGTGAAGGTGTGGGAGCAGTGGGAGGGGGCGCGGTGCCAAGAAAATCACAGAGCCGGTTCCCCACGTGGAGGCAGCTTGTCAACAGTGCTCCAAGGACCAGCTCAGGCATAAATCCGAAAAATCATGTGTAGAAGGATGTTTGTTTCTTTACAGAGGAAGCAGAGGGGAGGAGAGTAAAATAACTAACATTTAGTGACGGGAGCTTTAAAGAAATATCATTGCCTGGGTTCCACCTTCACAGATTCTGGTTTTAATTGATTTGGAGAGGGTCCCAGGCATGGAGGGTATCTTAAAAAGTGCCTTTGGTTTGAGTATCAAAATAAATAATGGCAGTATTGAATTATAAAACCCATAAAATAAAATAAAATAAATATCCATGAGTCCATGATGATTTCAATAAATAACGGAATCTATAAACGGATGAAGAAGAAGAAACACCATTTCCTTACAGAAGAATTCCAATTAATAAGTCTAGAGAGAATGAGGAAATAGAGAAATCACCATTAGAACAGGCCTGTAATTGTTGCAGGCAAGGTGCTCGGGTGAATGAAACATTAGTGGGGAAAAAAGATGAAGAGAAATAGGTTATTTGCATGAAATATCTCCCCCAAGATATTTATTAATGACAAAGGGAAAGATAATAACTTCACAGTGAGGAAACCCAGCAGATGCCACCTCAGCCAAGTGATCAACGTGAACATTGCCAGTTATAAGATATCTGATTCCTTCATGAAGATAGAAAAGAAAAAAAAAATAAGACCTTGGACATCATGTGCCTGTTGACCGGGGATGCTGGGAAGGGCTCACTGCTCTTACCCTCCCTGAGAATGCATAAGGTCAATTCAACCATGAAAAACATCACACAGATCTAAAGTGAGGGGTCTCCCACACTACTGCCCAGGTCTCTGTAAAGTCATGAAAGATAACAAAAGGCTGGTGAACTGTCACAGATAAGGGGAGAGTGAGGAGACAGGATAAGTAAACTCAAAGAGATCTTGGAGGAGATGAAGGGCAGCAGCAGGAAAACTGGTGAAATTTGAATAAGATTCAGGTAAGAATTTTGTACAGGTGTTAATTTCTTAGTATTGATAATTATGCAAAATGTTAACATTAGGGCAAGCTGGGGGAAGGGTATGCTACGTTTGCAACTTTTTTGGTACGTTCAAAGCTTTTTCAAAATAAAAAATTTAAAAACATAGTAATGTTAAAAAGTGCCTAGGAGATTCTAATATGCAGCCAGGTTGAAGACGGGTGGTTAAGTTAAGTACTGGCTAGGTGTTGGTGCTTCGTTACATTATGTCTTTCATTTCTTCATCAGGCAAGTATGTAACATAAGGTAAGTATTGCTGCTCCATTTGCTGGGTGAGCATCCGGCACGCAGGTGGCGTCTGGTACCTGGCTTGAAGCACATAGCCTCACTCATGGGCCATGTGAGCTGCTAGATTTGACCCTTTCAGCCCAAACCAGAGTACACAGCATTCACATTGTTTAAGTCTCACAGCGCCCCCATTGTACAGATGACAGAACTCATGCACAGAAAAACTGAAAAGGTTTCAGGGCTCAGGTTTGGACCAAAGCTGTACTCCTAAGAGTGAGGCTCTGTATTTTGGAAAAACTTCTGCTCCATCAATGGGTGTCTGTACCAAGGGCACCCCAGGCTCCTATTGGAACATGGGTTGGAACAACTTTGTCCTGGCTGCATTCTCCCAGCACCTATTGATAGAGGCGCCCTGTGCTTGGCGGACACTCTGCACAGTCAGCGCGAGCAGCAGAGGCCTTGTGCTCATTTACAATCATGCACGCTAAGATTAATGGTAACAGGAGTTTATAATTTCCCATTTCTGAATCTTTTAAAGCTAAGCTGTACAACTGGAGGAAACCTCGTAGCATTAGCAAGCATGGAAGAATACTTCCAAT